GTCTGAACCCAGTCGATATACTGTTGTGCACTACACATACACAGATACGGATCACACAACTGCATTTCCAGACTTTGCTTGGGGGTGTAGTCATGGGGACTGTCCTGTTAAGTGCCTATACTTCAAAAGGGACCACTGCCCACAGCTTACATAACTCTTTCAGACCTTACTGGCATCAATGGTCAACTGTTCAGAAGGGGGGATTAGATATAGTTTCCCTTACATTTCTCTCCTAGCAGCTAATCAACATGATTGCCAATTTTCTGAAAGGGCTGCACATTTGCAGCACCAGCTGTTGCACACTCAGTTAAAGTATGTGTACTCAGGATCAAGGTCTTTTTTTTTTTTTTTTTTTTTGCCAAAAATGTAAAGATGTTAGACTTAAAGCAAGAATCAGATGGGTTTTAAGGATCTTTTCAGACATTTACAATTTTGGGTTATACACGACCCAGTGAGCCCTGAAGGGCTTTGGGAGTGATCTAGAAATCTAATAAGTAAATATAAAAAGACTTGTAATAAAAACATTGTTAAAGACTTTGATTATTATTATTATTATTTTGTTATTCTCACCGTGACCCTTAGTCACTGCCAGTAGCATGATATTGTAGTCTTATGTAATAATATGGTGGAGGCAGCCTTTCTCTGTAGATACAATTTTCCATTTTCCAGATTCAGAAAAATCTGCACCCTAATAATTTTATAGAGAAAGGATAATGTAAATCAATCATAGAGTGTATACAACAGCTTGAATGGCCACGTGGAATGTTGTGAATTTCATTCTGGAATCTTGCACATGGGTTTCCTTTTCAACTCAGAAATTTACTTTTGAAAAGCAGAATCTACTTGTAAGGACACAACAATATGCAGGACTAGGTTAATGTAGGAAAAGCTACCAAATAACATACAAACTCTACCAAGGTGATTGCCAATATGAGCCAGTTATGTCTGTCCTTGGAAGGACCGTACTGCAAGGATCTCACGCAGGGCAGTGGTGACCTCAAAGCGGATAACACCAAAGGATTTGCCCTTTTGCGGGAGCTGCTTCAGGGAGAAGCAAGAGCATAGGGCACCTCTCTAACACTAGGCTGGCTGGTCTTGTGGGAAAGTGGTTGGGGTGGGGATTGGTTATTAGGACCTGATCATGTGCCTAGGAGAAAGTATACAGGGAGAAGTATGGTGATAGGTAGAGAGGAGCTATGACATTGGGATAAGGCTAGCCATATAAGGGGAAAATAACCTAAATACTTTACTGCTGTATCATGCTCTAGCCTTGTTGAAACCCACAGGTTTGGTGCGTGTTCTATCAGACAAGGTGCAGTTCTTGCAACTAACTTGCTCTTTCATTGGGGTTATACCAAATGTTGACTTCTCCTTAGCACAAAGTGCTTCCTCTTCCACAAACGGGCACTCCAAATATTCATTAATTCCTTCCTAATTGCTGCGGTTCACTGTGCCATGTCTCAAGATCAGCATTTCCAGGTGAGCTGGGGTTGTTAAGTGGGTTGTTAAGGTAAGTAAAACTTGGGAATTCTACCATGCACACTATTTTTTGCTTTGAGGATTACAGTTTAATTAAAGGGCAGTGAGTGTCATTGCCTTGCTATACAGAAAGGTTATTTTTGTTCCCTGCTTTGTAACTGACAAGTAGGGGGATGAGTAATAGCATTTATATTTTATATTGCTCAGAATTTTTAAATATCAATAAAGGTAGCTAATTCATAAAGGCTGAATGACAAAAAGGTCAGGAAATGTATACTTTAGAATAGACCTGCTTTGTCTTGTGGCACTTAAATTCTGCCATCTGCCAGGATTCACTCGTAGTATTTCTTTTTCCTTGACCAACATTTTCCATACGCTTGTCCATTTTCCAGCATTCTCATATTCTGTTTAAATGATGTTGTCAATTATCCAGTATGATCTTACCAAGCTGGCAAGTAAAATGATGTACTGGCAGATAGCTGATAGTAGGGTCTGCAAAATCTATCAAAGAAGACCACAACAAATTCACAGTTATGTCATTTGCTTCATACCTTCAACAGACAAAGTACCATTCTAAACCTGTTCTGATTCACTCCACTGATGTAGGCACCTGGCATTTCTTAAAATTTGGCATCTCTGCAGTTAACTATTTTGCTGTGCTTTAAAAGGTTTTGAGCAGAGCTAGATTAATATCTTATGCAAAGATATTATTATAATATCTCTTAATAAGAGAGTGCATGGAAAATGTTTGCTAGGGTTGTTGGTGTATCCTTGAGTACATCAGTGTATCTAAATATCTCCTTTGTTCTCTTTCTGCTTCCACGTTAGAAGTCCTTTGTAATAATGTATTGCTCAAGGTTATTGTGGTATATTACTTTGAGTGTAACATGCTCATTGCTGTAGGCTTCATAGCTATCATTTTGTAAGCCAGTGCAGTGTGGTGTTTAGAGTGCTGGACTGTGGACATGGGAGATCCAGGTTCTAGTTTCTGTTTGACTGTGCATCTCACTGAGTGACTCTGGGCCAGTCACTCACTTGCAGCCTTATTCACCTCACAAGTTTGTTATGAGGATAAAATGGGGTGGAGGCAGACTGTGTAAGCTGCCTCCTCATAAGGGGGAAAAGATGGGATAGAAATGCAACGTAATAATACTGAGCTGTACTCTGACTGGACACATGTTTTGTCCTGTCCTGGAATTTTGACTACTGCACTGCAGTCTAAGCCTTCTAAGAAGTTATGCAAAGTAGCACAACTTCTGGAAATCTTTGTTTGTATGATATAGTACTGGCCTTAGACTGTTCCCAAGGCCTTAGGGTATGGTAGTCCCACTTGTCTTCTCCATCCTCCTTGCAGAAGGCTTCATATAAGGTGTAGCTTCCTAATGTTGGATTACATAGGACAAACTCATAAAGTCAGTATTATCCGCTACATGTGCAGAATAGTGCCCATTGTCAGCCACAAACCACAATAATAGAAACTGCTGCAGCTATACCCATACAGTTCAGATTCATGGTTTTCTGTGTGAGCGGTTCCAGAGAGAAGCCACAGTTATGTTGTTATAAGGAAAACCAACCTTGTGACTTTGCTTTTCACTACATTACAGAAAACATCTTGCCTTCAATGCTTTCAAGAGCAAGTTAAAATGAATAAATATGCAGGATAAAATGACAGGCACCTTCAAATATTTTTTTTCCATACCAGCATGGTCTGATTTCCAAGCCATGGCTTTTGTCCTTTATTATTGATCTCAGCAGAGCTTATTTCTGACCAAGTGCATGAAGTTTATGCAGCAACCGCCTGATGCTGGAGTCTATAATTATGTAAATGTCTTACAGTAGCTCTCTTTGAAGCACATGATAATTTTATTGGCACAACATTGTTTATTTCTACAGCAGCAATACTGATATTGTATAAGTATCTTTTTATATTAGAATGAATTTTTTGTTTTTTGCTTTGAGTGGCACCTTTATAATCTGCAGGAGACAGTATAGACTGTGAGATGTGTGTTTGAATTCTCTGGCATTGATTTTTAGTGACACGTTGCGAAGGACAATGGCTCCTCGAATTATTTGAAGCTAAACATTATTTTCTGGTTTCTTTATAGGATTGTGGAAAAGGGATATTACAGTGAACGAGATGCTGCTGATGCTGTGAAGCAAATCCTGGAAGCAGTTGCTGTAAGTATTTACTAGTCTCATAAACTCAGAATAACATTTTACTAATTTGGACTGATTTATATAATAAATATACACATGGGTGAGAAAGTGTAACCCAGGGGTCCTCAAACTTTTTCAACAGGGGGCCAGTTGAAAGGTGCTGGCAGGGGACATGGGCCGGTGAGGGGGCGGCGGTGGGGTGTGCGCACGAGGCAGGGGTGCATGTGTGTGGAGAATGTTTTCTCCAAACAATCCCAAAACGATCTCCATGCGAGCAAGCTGCCGCCTCACCCCACGTTCACGCACACACCCGCGGGCAGGCGGGCAGGTGCAGGCATAGCAAATCCAAAACCTCTGCGGCGAGCCAGATAAATGGGCATGGTGGGCTGGATTCGGCCCACGGGCCGTAGTTTGAGGACCCCTGGTGTAACCCTTAAGGTTCTGGGACAGGTTTTAGTATATCCATTTAAATGCATGGCATGTCAGAGACAAGTGACCTTATGACATCTCCCATGCTACATGCCTAAATGATTGTCACCATAGCTTTCTTTCTGGGAAGCCTCTTCATTTACCCTTTTGGTCACCTATGTCAAGAATGTGGAGAACAGCTTGGCAATAGCACTTTAAGTTATCTCCAGACTACTTATTCTGGTAGCATGCATTTTCTCCAGTTATTGTGATGTTGGGGTGGGGAGGTACATATTGTCTGCCCAAATGAAGACATAATTGAGGTTTGCCAATCTCACTTACATTAGCAAAATAACAGAAGATGTTTAAGGTCTGTGTTGGGTTTTGTTATGGCAAATTGACAGTTTTCTGCATATTTACATCACATTTACATCACTTACAACACAACCATGTTGAAGTACATGTTAAATTGCACATGACTTATCATGTGCTTGATACATGTCTGTGCAGAAATGAAAAGATGACCAATCTATAGTGAAACTTAGCTTGTGCTTATATTTTAGCCATTTCTGGTGCAAACCAGCAAAATAACTACACTATCAGAATCTACAAGCATGCATTATCACTGCAATGTGGAGCTTGAATACATACATAAATTGTTCTGATTTGTGGAAAATCTCTGATTGCCTACCAATCTTGTACGCAAACAGAAAGTGAGAAAAAACTGGTACAACCCAACTGTCTGTTGGATTTAATACGTATAAAAATATGCAGATTTCCTCTTTGGTAATGAGGCTTGGAACAGCAAGAGTTGAGGCATTTAAACAATGTCCATTGAGGAACTGCAGTCTAATGGAAAGTACTTTCGATTTAATCTCAGCTAGTATTTGGATTGAATAGGAAGCTGGATTGAGCAGAAACGTCAAAAATTGGTGGTTGGGATGATAAGCAAGGTTTCGACCCTGAAGAATGTGCAGAGGAGTGTGATGTGGGGCTAAAGTGAGCAAACTGCATTAAGTGCACCCCCAACATGACACTATGCTCTGAAATACATATCCAGGAAGCCATAGCTCAAACGAACCTGTCTGGGAAGGGTCCTTTACGATCAAGCAGCATCACAGACTCAGTCACGTGCTCTGGTGCAATGGCCATATTAGCCTGCCCGTTGCTGCTCCTAAATATAATGTGGTGATGAAGATGAGATGGGTGTGATAGTGGTGGTATAGAGCAGTGGTTTTCAACTTTTCCACAGCTGTGAACCGGTGAGAACAGGAAAACCACCCCAGGGATTGCTGAGGCAAAAACAAAAAGCACCGTAAACATAATACAATATTCTGTGTATTAGTTTCCAAACACAATATCAAAAAATGAAAATTATCCAAAACAACCAGAAACCAAGTAACAAAAGATTTATTATTTATTTATTTATTAAAAGCTTTTGTATGCCGTCCTATTATATAAGATCTCAGGATGGCTTACAATTTTTAAAAGGACAATTCAAACAACAATTTCCGTAATAAAACAGAACAAAACAATAAGCCAACAGAACAACTAAACTAAAGAACTATCACAGTTTAAAATACTGTTTAAATAAAAAGGTTTTGGCCTGGTGCCGAAAAGAGTATAAACTTGGCACCAGGCATACCTCTCTGGGGAGTACATTCCAGATGTCAACAAAAGAACAAAATACCAAAATTGGTGCAGCATGGCTCCCAGCCAGCTCCCACTGAGCTGTCTCTTCCCTCCTTGGCTCCCCCGGCAGCACTGGCACACCCCCCATGACCATAATGCCAACCAAGAAAGAGGTGGTGGAGCAAAGCCGGCCCTTGCACCCGTCTGCGATGAGCAGGATGCAGTCCCCCACAGACCTGAGGTTGAAAACCACTGGCATAGAGGAATCAGTGGCTCTTAGGAAAATCCATCCTAAGATTAGTGGTGACACAACAGGGAGTAGAAATCTCCCAACCATTTCTACCTCTTCTAATGGATAAATCAGCAGATGGTTGCCAGTTCTCAGGATGGTATAGGCAGGGATTGTTCATGAGGTTTCCTAATGCGCCCACACACACCTCTATCCCTTGAGACTTTTCCTTTTCAGTAGAGGAGCTTTGCAAGGCTGTGTCTTGCTCTAAGGCCATGACAAAATTTCCCATTCATTGTCGGCTCCATGCCAGTTCATATGTACTGTGGGCATATGTGTGACACTAAAGCAAATGTGAGAGGTTTTGCAGATTTAAGAATTGAGGAACTGTATTTTAAGATCTATGTTGGCTTATATTTCAGGATTATGATTGTCATGCCTTTTTGCCTTTAATGTAGAGTGAATTCAAGTTGCCAATTTTACCTCAAGATGCACATCTTTGTTCAGAATCCCAAATTACAGTTAAATGGTTGAAACTTAAAGAAATAGCATTAATTTGAATATACATGAAATTAAGAATTTATAGAAGATAAGAAACTGTCATAACAGGATATTAAAGCTAATTGCCACAGAACATGGAGAAAACATTTAACCTTGCCAAAGATCTAGAATCTATTATGCTCTGGTTAAATAGAGAAATGTGAGACCTTGTGTCATTTTCCATTTCCCTGGTTTTATGGCTGTTGAATTTACAAATGTCAGGCCACAAAGTGCTGGAATATTCTGTTCCATTCTGTAGGAACTGAAGAATTACAGAACGAATTGATCTTCTGTTGCACTTTAAATGAAGTTCATTAGACTACAGCTTATGATTAGCTAGTTAAAATAAAATGACTCATACAGAACATACTGTACTCTCTCTCATATGTATGTATGTATGTATGTCTAGTTAATTACTTCCTTTTTTGTTTGTATATGGTACATACTTGTACCAACATGAGTAAATCAATAAAATATCAAAGATGGTTAGTGGGATGGGCAGTTATTGTGGGTAAGCGTAAATTTGACAATTCCTATTAGAATAAATGTCATACCCTGACAGCCTATATATATTGTTATTGAATTATTTAATTCTTGCTTAATTGGCCATAGCTCCAACCATTTATTTACCTTAAAATTACTGAGATTTTCTCTTATCCCTTTGATTGTATGCCAACATAAAATTATGGAAAAGTATAATGTTTAGGAAATGACAGCTAGTGTGATACAGAGGTTAGCATGTCAGATCAAGATGGGAGAGGAATCCAGTTCAAATTTCCGTGCAGCCATGAAATCACTGGATGACTTTGAGCACCTGCCATCTCTCTGCCCAACCCCTACTTCACAGAATTGTTGAGAAGGGGAGAAGCCATGTGTGCATCCTTGATCTCCTTGGAGTGAATATGGAATATATGTGTTGGTGTAGCTCAGACATAGTGCCAGGTCTGCTTCCATTTTGTAATTCTTCTACATGGGTATTGGCTGTCATGTGTAAGCAGTGAAAACTATTGGATTGGTATTGGCTTAGTAACTAAGTAACTTAGAGTAACTAAGTAGGCATATGGATAATTAATCTCATTTTGAATGTAATTATTATTATACTCAATCTAACTACACTTACATGAACATCTTTCCAAAAAGAAAAGCATTTTCCTTCCTCATGAACTGCTACTTTTTTTTTTACTCAGCCTCTTTCCCTCTTCATGTTCATCTGACTCTAGAATGAATAACTTGGTTATGGTATAGCCAAAAGATTCCATCCCCAGAGTAATTATTTCCAGGCATGTCATGTAGCTGACCAGCAATGAAGTAGCAAGCTTGCTCTGTTATATTTTCTCAGTCCCGTCTATTTTTGGGGAATAGTATCTATAGTAGATATGGCTCAGAGATGGGTCATAATGGGCCTTATAATTTATAGTATGGCCAACTGAAAGTTCTGGGGTGAAAAAGTCCCAGTCTCAGTGTCTCATCATGTGCCTTGTATTATGTGGGGCGGGGGAAAACAAGGGCCAAAAGCTCCAATCTTAATGTGAGTTTCATGTCTCAAATATTTTTTCTTATTCTGGCCAATCACAACTTTTAAAGGCTTTAGCACTGAACAGTTATTTTTATATTCTTCAGCAAATGTTCAAGAAAACATACAATATCATTCATACAAAATGCCTTTCAAATCTTCCTTTAGGATGAAGTATATATTTTCTATATATATTTTCTATAACAGAAAGTACATTTTCTATAACTTGCACCTATTTAGATTCTATTTTTAAACTGATAAATGAAGAAAAAATGTAAAATGAGGAAACATATCAACTTTAGAACACCAAACCAGAATTCCTAAAGCTCTGCCTTCTCCCAAAGTATTAAAATTAATGAGAACAGTGGGACAATTATTCAGTGTCCATTCAGAAACAGAATGCTTGACACTGTTTCTTTCATGATATGTTGAATATTCATCAACCTGTTGTCTGAAGAAAATTTTGATTTGTATTTTGATTTTTATTAGCTTACATGAAGGCCAAAGCAGCCTTTAGTTATATAATGACGTCTGCACAGAAATAATAGCTGGAATGCTTAAGTATATGCGTTTTTGCACTCTGTTAACATAATGCCCCTTGATTCAGCACAGGTTTCCATAAGCAGCATGGGAAGCGAGGTGATTTCTAGTCATTTCTCCTCATTTTGCAGCCCCATTATCCCTCTCCAAAGGTGTGCC